ATAGATGTAAGGTGTGAATCTGCAAGGGCATAAGAAAGAGACATGTAGCCAGTGTCCAAAACACCTTTATTGTGTCTCGAATAGCAAGTGGCATCTCAGCTCCACTGTGCTAGCCTTTCTGGTGAAAAATGAGCAAGTCTTTCATGTCTGCATCCTATGTTGTCCTTCTGCCTGAGAACTCAACACTGACTGTTACCCAGTGGTGTTGTAATGTGAATACCTGGAGTTGTTATGTATGATTCTATTGTGTTCTATCCAGTGATTAGCACATGAAGAGGAAGCATGACCAGGTGGTCTTGAATGCCATTGTTCAGCCTTTCTGAACTTATGCTTGCATAAGGCTTATGCATTCAGGGAATGCTCCTACATTTCAGGATTATGCTATTATGTCTCTAATATTTAAAGATTATTAGATGTAAAGGGGAGAGGGGCTTCCTTTTAATCGCATAGATACAATAACCACTGAGCTATCCAGACGGCTATTATCATATACATACTTCAATATATTCTTTTAAAAAGCTCCTGCTGAGTTATTGAAAATATGTGACTTAATTTACATTCATCAATTAATCAAAAGCAAGGAGGAGCCTTGTGGTACACTGCTTAAACTGCAGTCCTACAGCCAAAACTGCTCACAATCCAGATTCAATCCCAGGTAAGAGGCTCAAGCCTTCCATCCTTCTGAGGTCAGTAAATTGAATACCCAGCTTGCTTGGGGGTGAGCAATGTGTAGCCTGCATAATCAAATTGTCAACTGCCCAGAGAGTGCTTTGAATGCTGTGGGGCATTAAATAAGCAGCAGACTTTGCTTCTTTGATTTTGCAAGGATAAAATTTAGTCTTGAAGATTTATTTCGACCAGAAGCATATGAATACCACTGCTTGTCAAAGGATCAGAAGGTCTCCAGGTCTCTGAGCAGCATATTAATCTGTATAGACTAAAGTACTGGACTATTTTAGTTTATGTATTTTTTCGTCTTTTCTTTTGAAGGCCAGGGATTTATAAGTGATGATGAGTATCTGGAGATCACAGGGATCACCAGGGACCAATCTGGAGAATACGAATGCACCGCAGTCAATGATGTAGCAGCCCCTGACATCCGGAGAGTAAAAGTCACTGTAAATTGTAAGTACTCTACTATGTGTACATGTCCTTCTCTGCTAGTAATAATGAGATGGTTGGACAGTGTCATCGAAGCGATGAACACGAATCTGACCCAACTCTGGGAGGCAGTGGAAGACAGAAGGGCCTGGCATGCTCTGGTCTATGGGGTCACAAAGAGTTGGAGATGACTTAACAACTAAACAACAACAACAACAACAATAAACAGCCTCATGGCACAGTAGTTAAACTGCAGTATTGCAAGTTAAACCTCTGCTCATGACCTGAGTTCAGTTCAAGAGATTCAAGAATATTTGGCTCAAGGCTAACTCAGCCTTCCAAGTTTGGTAAATTTGAGTACCCAACTCACGGAGGGAGGAGGCGGCAATGTGTAGCCTGCATATATAAATTGTAAACCACCCCAAAGAATGCTTGAAGTGCTATCAGGCAGTATATGATCAGTACACTTTGCTATAAGCATGTGTTTATAGATATATTTGTTTGGTTTATGGCAGAACATTCTCTCAGAACTGAGACTCAAAGGTCCACATTAAAACAGATTTTAAAAATAACTAAATAAAGGTACAACTAAAAACACTCAAAAGTAATTTCTCCTAGAGTATCTTAAATTCTATTTATAGCAAAGGAATGAAAAGTATTTTTTTTCCTTTTCTTTCACTCCCCACTGAGAAGCAAATCAAATTTTTTTAAAAGGAGAAACAGAACCTTTCTAATGATTAACCTTGTACAGAGTAAATTAAGAATCCTCGGCTTTCAAACGAAGCATGCAGAAGTCTTGTGCGTTAATTGGCTTATGTTCATGCTAAAAATGACAATATATTCATTCCATACATGCTTCAAGTCTGTGATTTTCTGAACAAATTGCTCCTTAAAAGTTTGGTCACCAATGGGGAGCTCAAACACTCTTGAACTTTGGCAACAAATGCTTCCCCAGAAGCCCCTGGGCCTTTCAGAGGCAACTTGAGCAGTTTAAAGGAAATGAATAAAGGAGAACTTACAGTTCACTCAAAGGCCACTATCACTCTATCAGTGAGTCCCTCCTTTTGGATAAAGCAGAAGAGAAAGACCAAATGCCATTCAACTTGTGTTTCGGTCTATCCTGCACAATGAAAGCCCTCTTAGATCTTCATTATAACTCCATCTACTATTTATGCACTTTGAAGTTGGGAGGTTGGGATTCCAAAACCCATCTCTTTGCAGTTGACCTTTTTTTTATGAGCTTGAGTGGGCACCCCAGAATTTGACTCCAAACAGTTCTCTTTACCTTCTGAGTCCTCAACCCCAAGAGCTTCATATGGACACCTGACGAATCTCCCAAGTTCTGTAGAATCATCTCTCTTTCCCTTTACAGATCCACCTTCCATCTCCAATCCCAAGAATACTGGAGCCTCAGTAGGCCAGAAAGGGATCCTCCGCTGTGAAGCTTCAGCTGTCCCGGTAGCAGAGTTCCAGTGGTTTAAAGAAGATACCAGGTAGGTTTGTCAGCAATTTGTGCTGAAAGGGCAGATCTACGCCATGGGAAAGAAAAGAGTTTTCTGTGCCAAGAGGAGGCGATCTTACAGATCAGCAGAGCTTTCTAGCTGAGCCTTAGGAAACTATTTAAGTTCCAAGCTTACCCTAATGAGCATGATCTAATGAGAATTCTTTTAAGTATGAACAGAATGTCTTCAGCACTAATCATCACATATACTCTGCCCTCCAATCTCTCTCACTAAGGCAAAAAGATACTATACATCACAAGATACTATACTAATTTCACACTGGCTTTAAGCCTAGATAGAAATGAAGCACTACCTCAGTAGCATGACTTAATCATGATTATGAGACATCCCTCATCATGTCATACTTTCTCCATTCCTTATTACACATCGTCTCTTTTATGAGCAATATTAAATAGCCATAGTATTTCTTATCAATGTAGTTTTCATTTAAATGTATTCCTTTTTGTTTATTCAAGCTGTTCAATCATTTAGAGAGAAAAAAGTTGGCCTAGAAAGCTGCATATACCGATTCAGATTTTTGGTCTATCTAGCCAGAGATCCATCTGCATGTATTTGGAAAGCAGCTTTCTTGAGGATCCAGAAGAAAAGTGCATGAAGTGAGAAATTCCCAGCTATTGTTAGAAACTGCCATGAACCTAGCTCCTCCTTTCAAATCTAGCAGGAATGTATTCCAGATCAATCAGTGATGACCTAGAACACAGGATAATGGAATTCAAATCCCTATTTAGCCACAAGAGTCTGAAATACTCTTCTGATCTGGCATGGTAGCTGTGGGGCCACCTCGGCGCTACCGAAGCTCCTTGGAAGAAGTGTGATGTATAAACGCAAGCAATATATTAACTGCTGTACCTCTTGTAAACATTCTGGGAGTTAAGTTAATTTCACTTCCAGATGATGAGGATTGATGTAGGGCCATGCTTTCCCTTTCCCATAGATTAGCCAATGGGCTGGATGGTGTGAGAATCGAGAACAAAGGTCGAATGTCCACGCTAACCTTCTTCAATGTCTCAGAGAAGGATTACGGCAACTATACCTGTGTGGCTATCAACAAGCTGGGGAACACCAATGCCAGTATAATCCTTTACGGTAGGTACAAATACCATTGGGATACATGGATCATGCACATCATACACCTTTGCTCACCTGTGCGGAGGAATGAAACGGGACAATGGTGGAGGAGTCTCTGTAGAAGGAAATAGTAGACAGAGGAATACATAGATGCAGCAGGAGGTGCGTGAACTCCAACATCTAAAGCACTTTCTCAAGGAGACAGTCCATTTACTAAACACTTCCGACACTGGCTTTAAGCCTAGATAGAAATGAAGCACTACCTCAGTGGCATGACTTAATCATGATTATGAGACATCCCTCATCATGTCATACTTTCTCCATTCCTTATTACACATCGTCTCTTTTATGAGCAATATTAAATAGCCATAGTATTTCTTATCAATGTAGTTTTCATTTAAATGTACTCCTTTTTGTTTATTCAAGCTGTTCAATCATTTAGAGAGAAAAAAGTTGGCCTAGAAAGCTGCATATACCGACTCAGATTTTTGGTTCTATCTAGCCAGAGATCCATCTGCATGTATTTGGAAAGTAGCTTTCTTGAGGATCCAGAAGAAAAGTGCATGAAGTGAGAAATTCCCAGCTATTGTTAGAAACTGCCATGAGCCTAGCTCCTCCTTTCATAACATCTAGCAGGAATGTATTCCAGATCAATCAGTGATGACCTAGAACATAGGATAATGGAATTCAAATCCCCATTTAGCCACAAGAGTCTGAATTACGCTTGTGATCTGTCATGGTAGATGTGGGGCCACCTCGGCGCCACCAAAGCTCCTTGGAAGAAGTGTGATGTATAAACGCAAGCAATATATTAACTGCTGTACCTCTTGTAAACATTCTGGGAGTTAAGTTAATTTCACTTCCAGACGATGAGGATTGATGTAGGGCCATGCTTTCCCTTTCCCATAGATTAGCCAATGGGCTGGATGGTGTGAGAATCGAGAACAAAGGTCGAATGTCCACGCTAACCTTCTTCAATGTCTCAGAGAAGGATTACGGCAACTATACCTGTGTGGCTATCAACAAGCTGGGGAACACCAATGCCAGTATAATCCTTTACGGTAGGTACGAATACCATTGGGATACATGGACCATGCACATCATACACCTTTGCTCACCTGTGCTGAGGAATGAAATGGGACAATGGTGGAGGAGTCTCTGTAGAAGGAAATAGTAGACAGAGGAATATGTAGATGCAGCAGGAGGTGGGTGAACTCCAACAGCTAAAGCACTTTCTCAAGAAGGAGACAGTCCATTTACGAAACACTTCCCTACTGCATTGTACATTTTTACCTTACCTGAGTGCTTTACAACAGACTAAAGTTAGGGCTCTAACATATTAATGTAGGTGGGAAATTAAATGTTTCTCTTTTGCAAGGACTATAACATTTGTCATTTCAGGGTTTTGGGTTTTTTTTTGTCATACTGCAAACTGTGATTCTAGAAAGAAAAGTATTGATGGTAACAAAGATTAAATGGGATGCTCACAGCAAGCTCTTTTCATGTGTCCAGAGTGTTCCAGTAGCCACAAGTGCACTTTCTGTTGTTGCACACATTCACACATCAAGTCGTGGCTATAGATAGGAACTGGACATTGATAGGCGCTTTGTCTAAGCTTGGGGTGGGCAAAGTCCAGCCTGCTGGATATTGTTGCATGAAGATCTCATCACCCCTAGGTAGCATGGTCATCAATGTGGAAAACTGTTGGTGTTGTGGTCCAACAACGTCCAGAAGGCTACAGTTTACTCAAGCCCAAGTCCATACTTTGCCAAAGTGCAAAATTTAACTAACATGCCAGCTGGAATCTTAAAACATCCAGGACATTCCCCAGTGTTGTATTGCCAGAGGCTATGCAAGTTGAGACTTGTAAATTATTACCCACACACCCCCGTGACTGTCTTATATGTTGTCACACCTACCACATCCGCATAACCATTGCTATGATCTCTGTTTGCATAAGTTGGGTCAACGTTCTAATAATCCACTTGTTCTTCCATTCCTTCATGCATTCATTCACTCAACTGTCTGAAATTTTGAACTACATTTTCCCTTTCTTTCTTTTTTTTTTCTTTCCTGTTTCCTCTTCTCCTTCCTGTGTGCCCATTGTGTCTTCTGTTTTAGAAATAAGTGAACCTCCAGCACTGGCAGGTTGGTACAAGCATGGTTCCTTCCTCCTTTTGCTTGCAACACACCAAATGCCGCTTTGCCAAAAAGCAGAAGGGCTGCTTCTCACACAAGACATCAACGCATAGGGACGTTTGGCTGATTTGGTCTTGGAAGGAAGGAACTAAGGCAGTGCATTTAAGGTGCAACATCAGGGGAATCTTTCCACAGCAGCTAATTCGTGCAAGTGATTTCTGTCAAAAGCAGTCATCATGATCAGTTAGGCCTGGAACAAGATGTTGTGATATATACTCACCTCCTAGCTCGAGTGGTCCCATTCAAGGCTGTTGCTGTTGGGGATGTGGAAGGAATCTGGTTCTAGTCTATGGTTTGACAGGCTTTTCATGGTTTGCAGTCCGCTTCTTGGATTGTCTATGGGATGGATACATTCTTGCTCTCTAAAATCTTCACGTTGATGGTTGTATACAGATGTCTAAAGAAAAGTGCACATATTAAATGCACGCAAAATTCCATTTAGATACACTTTAGGTGACGAGGTAGGAAATACATTTAAGCAATGCATATAGTTTCAAATATCTGCAAAAAAATGTGTATATTAGGAAAAATACGCCATGAAAGGCTTTAAAGGTGTCAGTGCTGTAAAGCCAAGAACTCCTGATGTGACTAAACTGCAACTGCCAACATTGCCTACCATTGGCTGTGTTGCACAGAGCTAACCGGGTTAGAGCAAATGTTAAAGATGATGACTCCAGATGGTTTCGAACTGTGCACAGGATCAAGTAGAACGGTCTCCTGCATTAATCTGTTCATATGAAAAGCAAATGTGGCAGCTACCAGACACAACACATCTTATCCTTTTCCCAAAGAAAGGAAAGTGGATGAGTCCCCTTCTTGAGTCAGCCAATCTGCTTGAGGTAGAATATCTTGGTCCACAAAGAAAGAAGCTAAAGAATGTAGATCCTATAAAGAGTTGTGAAAATGTATGGATATGTTCTGAGGTATTAGAAGGAATTTTCATCTCCAAAGTAGCATCTTCCACACAAATCTATTTGCCCTCAGCCCACAAAGTATTTAGTACTTCGTGCAGCAGATTAGATCCAGTACTTTTGATCTTGTCCATAACACATATCAAAAACTTCTACCTTTTCTCTCTGTATGTATTTCTTACTTTATGCAAAGCTTCTTTCCAAGGCAAATGTCTTACTGTATCTGGCGATGACCGCTTTCTTCCTTGGGTTGGGGTTCAGGAAGGATGGGATATCATTCTCATGCCCGAGAAGCACTTGTGCTTGGAGCTGGAAGGAGGATATTGGGTGGAAAATTCTGCCAGACATGGCCTTTCCAATAAACCCCTGGCTTGTGTGGCTGATGACTTTCTCCTACAAAGAAATGGAGGAAGAAGCTAGAATAGGATTTCCCAAACTTGTTTTGAGTCGCAACACTTTTTTATAATAGCCAAGTACGTTGGACAACCACCTGGCATATAACCTTTGATTTGTATTCCTGTACTAAGGAGGAGGTTGGACTCGATGGTCTTATAGGCCCCTTCCAACTTCACTGTTCTATGATTTTATGACCCTATAATTGCTCCAGTAGATGAGCTATGTTTTGGGAACTTCAATGACAATTTCAACCCTTTCCAAGACCAGTCTACTTCATCTTGCAGTTCACTTTTTAAGTGTTTCCATCAGCACTGCAGGAATTAAGATGATAGAGAATTAATCTATTTTCAATAGGTCTTTAGGATCCAACTTTGTTATAGGGATGTGGCAGTGCCGCATTTCAGTTAAACTGGCTGTCTTGACACAGCACGACAGCACCATGAGAATTCTACATCGCTTTTGAGAGACCTTTTTCTCCTGCACAAGATCAAGATGAAAAATTGTGTGTTTTCTTGTCATGTTTTCTTTTCAATTTGTGTTAAAAAAAAGCATTTTGCTCAAAACTCTTGCCTCTGTGTAAAACAATTATCGTTTTCACTTTGCACCACTAAGCACACATAATGCACAACCAACAACCCATCTAGTGCTACAATGGCTATTGCAAGGCAATGATGATCACATTTGTCCGTGCAAGTTCAAATACATGCTAAAGTACCCAGTTCTGGGAGGCTGGTTGTGTGTGTGTGTGTGTGTGTGTGTTACATTGTTTATTCATTGTTTTCAACTAAGAAGGATGCTTCCCCTAACCACCATCTCTACTTTTGCTACTGAAGAGAAAGTTACTCACAGCCCGTTTCCTTTTGGCTGACAACAGCACCAATAGGTTCTGTTAGATTTCTCACCAACTGAACAAAAATGTCAACCCATTAGAAAAATATGCAGACATTTCATATTTTATTTCTGATGAGTATTCTCCTTTCCCTGCTCCCAAATCATTGGCATCTGGTTATTAGCCACGGTTTTCCTAGTTCTGAGATAGTCAGTTCAGCATTTGCTAACGTCAGCACAGACAGTGATGTTCATGGGGAGGAGGGGCAAATCTCCCTTTTCCTTACAATTTATTGCAGTCTTTAGCTTCAGACTTGAATTGCCGCTTCATCCTTTCAAAGGGAAGGCACTCAAAATACTTCTTATCTGAAGTGTCCCAACCATACTTGATTTCCAAGTACATTTACCAAAAAGGCAGCGAGTGGGGGAACACTGCAGACGCACACACACACGCACACGCACACTTTGCCTAACAAAATTCATTTGAATCGCTCTGCAAATATTGTCTGGGTAGATGCTTGCAAAGACAATACTGCAATTCTGTTGTAATTAAGCAAAATAAAAGTTCTGTTTGCAGTGAGACAATTTGGCTAAGCTGGTTTTTCATAGCAGAAAATGGGTTTGAAGCTCTCCACATTTTCAGGAACACATAAGCTAATTAGATTCCTTCCTGCCATTATTTTTAATTTTTTGCCATTACAATAGTTGTTATCCCTTTGTCTTAGAATTAATGAGGTTAGAAAGCTCACATCATGTTGCTTTTTAAGTTCAGATTATGGTTGAGTGTCTAGAATTTCACTTGAGGTATAATTATGCACTAACGATTTTCTCCCTTCTTTTGTCCTTTTTTCATTTTTATCTTTAAAAGCATCCGTTCCTTCTTGCTGTAGTTTTTGCTGGTTGAATTTCTTTAACTCTGCAACAAGGAGCAATTGATACTTGTTTCCTATTCTGAGTTGATTCCCAGCATCATAAATGGGTCAATTTTACATTGGTTGCCTCAAAAGCCTTGAGGGACCTCTCCCCTCCCCGCCATGGTACGTCTATAAATGATGGCTATAATTAGGGGCTTCAGGCTAAATCCAGTTGTTTATCTGAATTAAAGTGGAAACACTGAATGAATAGGAATTAAACTAACATGCAAATCCCATTGAATCATTAGATCTACTCATGTCAGGTCTGACACTTCGATTTAGCCCTACATTAGTTTAAAAATAAATAAATCCTGCTACAAATATTTATCTAGATGCAAATAACATGTGCCTACATCTCACACTACTGAGAATAGGCTTCACTGTGGCTGAATAGCTGGCAATGGTAATAGCCCAATAACTTTCCCCCCATCACAGAGTGTGACTACACATAGTCAAATACTGTGGGATTTGGTCCGCTTATAAAATGGGTGAATTTGAATTATTATTTTTTTAACTGACCACAGGATGCAAAAGGCTGATTCGCATTGATCCAGCCCTTTCTGCTCCCGAAGCAGCTTTTTTTCCCCTCCTCCTGCTGCGGGGCTTTTACTTTTTCAAACTGGAATTATTTAAACGGTTCTTTTCCTCATGCGGTTATAGTTGTGATATATTCTTGTAAAGACAAGGATGTTTCTGTAGGTGGTGTTTGGGTGGCATAGGCAGTTTGTATGTGATGTTCAGGGGACATGCAGAAGTAAAACATCAGGAGTAGATATGGGCATGACCCACCAGTTCATGGCAGTTCATTTTTCAGCTATTCGGTGTTTCTCAGGCCTGCCTCCTCTGTTGGGAGCCCACTCAGAGGCCATGCCCTGACACCCCTGACCCACCTCCTCTTGTGAGCACCCACAAGACGAGGTGGGGCTGGGAAACACCAAACACCTCTTCGGCTGAAAAATGAACTGACACAAATCACCAGAGCGGCGGATCATGCCCATCTTTTACCATTATTTTAAAGTAAGTGCTGATCTGGAATCTTGTCAGATCGTGTTGAAAGGCCCTTTTGTTGTGAAGCAAAAGTTTAGTGCTGCTAATAACTTAATTGAGAGGTCTGGGAGTGTCACCTCCCCCTTCCCATCCCTTACTCCTTTCCCTTACTTTCAAGCAACACATACAGGAATTTCTTCATTTCTGCTCACATACGGGTTTTAAACTACTGGCAGGATAAAACTGTGAACAGAGATGAGATAATTCCTGCATGCGTTACTTGAAAGTATGGGGGAAAGAGTAACAAATGATAAGGGAAAGTGGTGATGATCCTTGTTATGGAGTCATTCTGACGTGAATTATGATGCATTTTGCAAAATTACTGTTCAAACGTATGAAATTCTGTACTTAAACTAAGTAGCTTTTCATGTTATTTTTCTATAGAAAAAAGGTTATGAGAAATGTAGTAGTCTGAAGATTTAAATGAGAAGTCAGCTTCACAGTGACCTATAAAAGGATCAGCAGAGACAGGACCAGAGGAAGGAAGGAAGGAAGGAAGGAAGGAAGGAATGAAGGAAGGAAGGAAGGAAGGAAGGAAGGAAGTGGGGCTCTGGGCTGGAATGTGACTGACACCACATCCAGTATGAACAGTGAATTCCCAAATCAGTCGCTCCTGGTGTGAGCACTGATTGCTATTTCAAACATAATACAGGCTGTGAATCAAATTTCCAGTGTAGTCCCATCCCAAAAGTTATATATAATTTTAAAAAAAGTTCAGATTTACTGAAGGACTCTGGAGTTGGGCTCAAACGGCTTGTCAAAATTCTCCATCTGCTTGTAAGCAAAGAAAAACAGGGGTGGGATTGAAATTCTATAAGGCTGACCATTAGCAGGGGCAGTAGTAGCTCAACTT